TTAAGTATAACCATTCATTATGATAATCAAGGGGATCAGTCACTTATCTATTCTCTTTTTCGATGTAACGCGTCATTGGTCAACACTATTTAATGCATATATGTGAATATATATATATATATCTTTTTGTTTTATAATATGGATGAATGAGCACAGCGTCTGTTTTATATCGATACGATTGTATACTTTAAAATATTATAAAAAACATACCTTTAGAATCATTCAAAATAGTTTCGATTAGTTATTTATAAAATGCACATATCTAATCAAATGAGACATTGATTTTTTATTATTTAGATAAAATTGTTATGGCAGCTAATCAAGCAAACAGTCATCCATGGTTCGAAGTTTGTCATCCACGTCCGGCAGCTAAATACCAAGTATTTATATTTCCATCAGCTGGTCAAGCAGGTATTTTTAATATATATTTATATATATATGTAAATCTAATGTATACTTAGGTCATTATTATCGTGAATGGGATAAAAATTTTCCTGAATATGAATTTTCAATAGTAATTTATCCTGGACGAGGATCACGATTTGGTGATAAATTATTAACTGAAATGAAAGATTATATTACTGAATTAGATAAAGGACTTTTACCATTTATTAAAAAACCATGTATTTTTATTGGACATAGGTATTGATTTTTATTAAACATGAATTAGAATTTATCTTCCTTTTTAAATTCAAGTCTTGGAACTGCTGTTAGTTTTGCATTAGCTAAACATATGGTTGATAAAAAGAATAAAAATAATTTTCTTAAATTATTGCTCGAAATGGGACGAGGACCACCACATTTAATAGGTTTGATTTTTTTCTATGTTATTATTATTATTGATTTTGTTTTATTTGCGATATTTAGATCCGGATGAACCGTTCGAACACATGAACGACAAAGAACTTACTACAGAATTAAAAAGGTTGGCTGGTAAGATTTACTCATTATATATATATATTCTTGTATTTGTTTCTATAGATCCAAGTCAAAGAGAAATATATGATTATCCTGATTTTATGGCAATGATTTTACCTATGTTTAGAGCTGATTCACGGGTAGCAAGATTTGAAATAAAAGAAAAGCCAAGTTTTCTTTTTGTTTATTTTTTTTAATAGGTTGCAGGTCAATTATTAGAGCAAACTCCATTGGATATTCCAATAATTTGTTATGGAGGAGACAAAGAAGAAAAGGTTGATGAAGCTTTTATAAATCGATGGAAAGAATTAACAACAAAACATGATTTATTTCGTGTTAGAATGTTTCATGGACATCATCATTTTCAATCAGAATGTGAAGCACAAGTTTTACAAGCTCTTCAAGAAGATTTTCGTAAAATTAACAGTTTATAATAATGTTTTTCTTTTCTGTCAAATTGTTCACAATAAAAAATACTAAACAGTTTGATTATTAAGCATAGAGAAACACCTGAAATGTGTTTATTGATTATAAAATACAGCGATAATAATGAACAGATTTAATTGAGGGAAATATCTGAATAGGTAGGGTATGAGTATGATGAAGATTAGGAGTAGATATATCCGCACCCACACTCTCAAGATCGAGGCCGAATCGCAGTCATAGGTATCACTATATTGTGTCGTTGCTTTCGTCGTATCAATGAGTTTTTAATCTTATTTACCACTTCTGGTAAGCATCCAATGCAAGCAAACGGCAAAAGAAGTGTGAGCAACCAGAAAGAGTAAGTGAAGTAGACATTTTGAACGTAAGCGACCAAGTCGGATAAAGGCGTGGACAGTGAAATAAATGCTACGACAGTAAATGGACCTTGAAGTACTAAGTAAAGACTCGAAATAAGTAAAAGTTGAAAAATCATTTTGCGATATTTATGCCATTGTGTACCTTGTCGTAATGGACCAATTCGTCTTCGAAAGATTGCTCGCATAACAAGACTGATATCGAGCAAAATATCAAGAATTAGAGGAAGGCAATTATGAGCAATCAGATCATACATTGAAATCTTTGTGTCAGTTGTGTAACAGGAAAAACCGCAAAGAGGTTGATTGAAATCAAACTGATTTTCACATGAATAAGCAAAAATGGTCACAGTATAGAAAAGAATCAGATAGACAGTGATCGCTATGAATGGTAAATAATGGAAAAACAATCGGTATTTTGCTGTAGCGTAAAGATAGTTATGAAAGATAAGTAGGTGACGTTCAACGGAGACAAAAAGTAATAGAACATTCATCATACTAGAGAGTAAAGAATCACACCATTGCCAAATCAAACAATTGACATCAGTCTGTGGTATAACTGTGCTTGTATATAAGTAATTTATGATACGTGGTACTTCCACGAGATTAGTCAATAAACTAACAATGAGCAAGATTAAAATAGCATGATAATGAAGAGTACGACGTAGTATTCGATCAGTGAGAAGATAATAGATAAGAATGATGTTGCAGAATAATGCCGGTGGTTCAAGTGCAATAAAAACACCGATTTTTATGTTTCGAGTCCATGAAGTTTCATAGGATGTTGAAGATTCTGTTGAATTGTCTTCTGAGATAACCATTGTGCTTATATAAAAATAATCGAAGGAAACAATACTCTATAAATCGTCGAAATTTTAAGACTTAAATTCCTTTAATCATCTATTCTTCGCAAACAACTAAACCTTTATACTTTCCTCTATCCATCTGAGAATAATCAATTCTTTTCTTTTGTTGCTTTTAATTAAAATGGTATGTCAGGAAATGAGTTTTTCGACTATTACTTCTAACTAAATAAGTAGTTGCGGAATAAGTGTTCTATTTCGATCTAGAAGAAGTTTGAACAAAAAACAATTTTTAAGATTACTTGAAGTATGAAACATAAGTTGTTACTTTGTCACTCACAATAATCAGTTTCATTTCATCATTCGAAAGGATCATAGTTCTATGAAAGTAATTAATATTAAATTAGTTGAAGTAGCATAATTTCCATTTTCATTCTGCCGACGATAAGAACCATGATTGTAGTGTACAAATAGGAACATTATATATGTATAATAAATGATCTCTTTGTAAACTCCCGTACTATTTTTCAATATTAATCAACAGTGCTTGTTCTGGACTAAGGATAGCCATCAGTTGTTGGCAATATTTGAATTTTCGTATCACATTGCTCACGATTTAGTAATTGACGGAGGGGAGTGTTGCGATGGCAGTCGCAATATTTGTAATAAATCCTGCAGAGATGACAGTTAAGTTAGAAAATATCGATCACTTTTTTTTTGATAATGGAACTCTAGAAGATCTTCTGAAATTGAAGCAAATAAAATGGGTTTAAATTGTATTCGCCAAAAATAATTATAATAACAGCCAACGAAAAACGTTATTTTTCGCTCGTTCTTATGCATACTGTCATGTGCTATTATAACGTATTCTATTTGTTTTTTTTGCATGCTTCTGAAGCAAATATTGTTTTTTCAGTTTTAATGTACAATATTTTCTCATTTTTAAGATGTCCACACATACACACTTGCTTCATTTGCCAAATGAATTAATCTATCGTTGTTTCAATTATCTCTCATTTGATGAAATTTTACAAAGTTTCGTCAATCTCAACACTCGTTTCAGTTATCTAATTACAACTCACTGGAGATCAATACAAATCGGTATTGATCTACGAAAATCTCAATTCGAACGTCTACTACATAATTTAAATCCAATACAAGTTCGTTCTCTTCATTTATTATTCGAAGACGATGAACGCCATTATTCAAATCAATTTTTATCATTATTTCCGATTGAGAAGTTCCAAAATCTTCATTTTTTAAAGTTAAACGATACTTCACAACAATCTTTCCATTCTCTTCTTACTAATCTTCATCAATTACATCAATTATCCAAACTTATTATTCTCGATAATTCTTCTGAAGATGATGAATTAATATTCACACAAATATTCTCAAATCGAATTCCAACATTAAAATCAGTTACACTCGATTTTACTCTGCACTATCAACCAACAACAACCTCCAACAACTATAATTATTCATTCTCTAATATACAAGTTTTAAAACTAACCGGTTATTTAGATAATATTCATTGTTTCTTAGAAAGGACACCGAGATTAACAAAATTAATCTTAACTCTATATGAATTCTTTGATAATGACGGACAACAAACAAACAAAAATATGTTCTTATGTATTCCATCAACATTAACTTATTTACAAATAAATTTTAGCGGTACTAGCAGTTTTTTTCATATGGATATTGTAACTGAATTATTCAAATTGAACAGTTCTTCATTACTTCAACTTCAACATTTAGTTATGATTGGTGAAGTGCATGACACATTGCTTGATGGAAAACGATGGCAACAGATAATTGAACATTATTTACCATCTTTGGAGTTGTTTCAGTTTTACTTTGATGCGACAAATGATAATAACTGGAACTATATGTACGTTACTTTTTCTTTTGGTAATGTTCGGTTTAGAACACGATTTTATTTATTATTTTAGAGAATATTATACAGGGGATTGGATTATAACTGATTTTGATAGTATAATGAACTCATTTAAAACTGATTTTTGGCTTCATAAACATCAATGGTATGTCTATGGTGAAACAAATGATGAAACAACTATCATCAATACTTTACCTCTCTGTACATCGTCGTCCTTATACTTACGAACATCACTGCCGGTTAACACCGGTTACCGTGCACAAATAACAAGTCCAATCGTACCTTACACACATCAATACGAAAATACGATACAAGAATTAACTCTATGTATTAATGCAGATGCTGATTCTTCTCAAAAATTTTACGATTATTACTTTTCTAATATAATAAAACTATGCCTTGATACTGACTCAAAACTACAGAATATTGTCGAATCATTGTCGAATGTAATAAATCTAAATAATGTACAACAATTGGAATTAACTCATCCAATACAATCAAATTCTATGGGACTATCAGAACTTCTTCCACATCTTCCAAATTTAACTACTTTAAATGTGTACTATGGAATGACAAATGATTTTACTTTTCTCAATACTATTAAGAACAAAAGTTTATTCGCACATTTGGAAATACGTGTTCTTACAAAATTAGATTTTTTAAAAATCTTAGAAATTTTACAAATTAGTTCATATTCATTAATATTAAAAATTCGTGTAGACAACGAAGAATTTGAAGATCACAGTCGACAAGTTATCGTAAACTGGTTAAAAGAGCAAACACATTTGACAAGTAGTGATGAAGTATCGACAGTTAATTTTAATGTTCTAAATATGGAGAAACTCAATGCATGGATAACAATTGAATGTGTGAATATAAGAGATAAATCTTCGGATCGAAAGGGTGGGTGCGGGTGTGAAGCAAGAGAAAAAGGACACACACCTAATATCTACTATGAGTCTCATATATAAAAAAAAGAATGAATGAAATCTTTCAGATGAATTCCCTTATATATCTTATGTTATTTTAAATCAACAAAACTTAGACGCACCACAGTTTTTGTACTCTTATAATATCATTGATCAATAATAAACTTTTTTATTTGCAATTCTTATCCATATATAGTACTATGAGAATATGACCAGCTGTTTTCCTTTATCGTATATATATATATATCTGCATACAACTTCTTCATTAATCTGTCTTAAAACCAAATGCTTTTTTATATTGAGAGAAAACAACATAATCAAGACATTATATGTATGTTAAAAATAGCGACTATAATAAGCATTCTCGGTAACACTGATGTTCATACACAACATAAAAAAACACAAAAGATATTTTCTTTTCTTTTTTTCATCAACTGAACAAAACAAAAAATAGTAAGTTCTTCACCATTCTTTCTTTCTTGCATCAACTGATACACCACCGGGACCAAGTGCAACAACAAATAAAAGACCACCAATAACCGACATTGTTTGAAAGAAATCATATTTTAAAAAGTCATGTAATGCACGATGTTCATGTACATTCCAAAAACAATTTGCATATACATTAGCCATTGATAAAAATATAACAAGAAATAAAGCTGATAATTTTGTTTTAAAACCAATTGCAACAAATAAAATACAAATACCACCGATTATATTTTGAATCGTTGAAACAATTGTAAAATCATAACGAACAATAGTTAAAAACATAATAACGAGTAATATACGACCAGCTAATTGCATATAATTTTTTGGAGCATTATTCTGCATTGTTGGTACACCGGCGAATAAACTACGTGCTTCTTTACGATTTTCAACCATTAAAAGAATTAAACCACCAACAAGTGAACAAGATCTAAACAAAAATTTCAAATAAAATTCATTACATAATAACCTAAAAAGATATATTACCTAAGTAAGAAACGAGGTTCCCATATAATTCGATATGCAAGCGACTAAAAAAAAGATTATATTATTGGTGATTCACTTGAGAATCAATCAAACTGCGATTTATAAACTCGTATTTGTACTCAATGACTTACTTGAAGTGCAATTATAAAAACAAGTATTCCGCATGCAATGTCAGTTTTCTTTCTTGCTAAAATCATGCCGCATGGTGCTAATTGACCGACAAGATTAGTAATAACAAAAAGTGTACCAATAAACCATCCAACATTCCAAGAACTCATAATATATTCTCTTTGTTGACCCCATTGCATCCACATACGAATACCATCTTCAATAAATGTTGATATTAAACATAATCGGGCTAAATGTGGTAATATATATTTCGTTTTTTGAAGAAACTAAAAGAGAAAATTTTCAATAGAGTATGAAACTATGATAAATAAACTATTTACTATATCAGCATAATCTTCTGCTTGACCTAACCATTCTTGACGTTTTTTTGGTGTAACAAAATTCATGATTGCACTAATCGCTAATAAAAATCGATCTATATAATAATAATAATCTGTCCTCTCGACACGATTACGATGATGATGCGATGATGCTAACGTGGTTTTCCTATGGATTGGTTGATTAAATTTATCATTAATTGATTAAATTCTATATTGCATAGGAATATTTTTAATATCATTATTTTTTTATTGTATATTAAAACAAATTTATAAATAAAACTTTTATTAATAATATTTATGATAACAGATGTCGACACATTTGTTTTTTATCATCCATTATTTTCAATGAATGAACGGTACAGAACGGGTAAAATAAGAAGTTAAAACAGACAATATTGAAAATGGGTGATGATGGAAAACATCATTCTGAATTTCGAGCACGACGTGTTGATGGAGCAAATCCTGATGGTAATAATATATAGAATTTTGTTTATTCTTAAGTTTGATTTTTTCCAAATATTTAACAAGGTTTGGAAGATGCTGCTGCACAAAGTCGTCTTACACATGATCGAATGTCAGCAGAAGAATCTCGGTTATTTCCAGAAATTTGTAAAGGTGATATCAAACGACATAAAGCATTCTTAATCATTCGAAATAATATCGTAAGCAAGTTTTATTTCTTGTTCTGTTTAAATACAACTCTATAGTATATGATACAAACAAAGATAAAATATCTTTGTTGTCATCTAGAATATATTCTTCATAGAAAAAAAAAATAAAATATTTCAATCTATTGTAATGAAACATCTCTAATCAGAGATTAGGATTTATAGGAATGTTTCTAAGACGACATAGTTAATCGTTGGCATTACATTGATAAATATTTTATGAGTCAACGCTAAGTATATACACAATGAAAAAGGGAATTGTTCAGTTTTTGAAAACTGTTCAACTAATACTGCGCAATGTAATATATATCCATAATCCATTCAAAACGGTTGATTATCAAAGTATATCAATTCGTTTCTGTGTTAAACCGGAAATTTGTATAGTCTGTATGTTCATCTTCAAAACTGCGAGTATTGTAAGATTTTCTATGTATTGAACAATGCTTTACAATTGAATACTGTTATATTCAGTTTATAAAAGTATCTACTATATAAAGGTGTATTCCTTTCTAAAAAATTATGTAGAGGTTTCATTTGAGTAGAATGATCATTTCTATAAAGATGAACGCTATGTATAGCATTAAGAATTCTACATATTTTAGCTTCGAATGTGGTTTGATGAACCTCGTATTCAACTTATACTCGAAAAAGTCATGGAAAAACTAAATCAAGTTGAACCTCAATATGCCAATGGTAATAATTGATCTATATTTTTTAATTGTCATTTATTTTTTACTCGTATTCATTATTAGATGAACGAGTTCTTGCTGGAAAAATTTTTCTTTATTTGGAACGTTACGGTTTCATTAATTTTGGAGTTTTTAAACGTATAACAAATCCACTTGGAAGTAAGATTTTATGATATATTTCATCTAAAATATTAAAGAAATTCATATATATATTTAGATAAAAAAGATCAACCACGTGTTATTATAATTGGTGCCGGTATTGCTGGAATAATTGCTGCACGACAATTACAATATTTTGGATTTGAAACAATTGTTCTCGAAGGACGTGTATGTGAAATTATTTTTTTATTTTTTCACAAAATTATCATTTTATGTAGAATCGAGTTGGTGGTCGAATAGCAACATTTCGTAAAAATGGCTATACAGCTGATTTAGGTGCTATGGTTGTAACTGGATTAGGTTGATGAAATTTTTATTAATTAAATAAAAAAAAACTAAATTTCTTTAAAAAATTTTTTCAAGGTGGTAATCCCGTATCTGTATTACAAACACAAACAAATCTTGATCTTGTACCAGTTAAACATAAATGTCCAATGTATGAATGTTCTCAAAATGTGGTAAGTTAAATATGAATAAAATTTCTAAGAAGATTTTTCTCTACTTCCAGTTAGCAAATACATTTTTAAAACCATTTGAATTAGTAAATTATCGTCGTCGTTATCTTCGGGTTAATTAAATTGCATTTTTTGCTAATTTAGTTTTTTTTTGAGAAAAAAAATCTGAATAAATTTTCTTTTTTCTTTTGTAATTTTGTGGAAGGTACCCAAAGCCAAAGATGAAGTTGTAGAAAGAGAATTTAATCGTTTACTTGAAGCATGTTCGTATTTGGCTCAAACAATTGATGAAGATATTCATGGAAAAAAACAACCATATTCATTAGGTGATGTCCTAGAACAATTAATTCGTGCACAAGAAAAAGCTGTCAGAGAAAAATATCTACAACATTTACGTGAAATAACTAAAATGAAAGATTCACTTCGAACAATTTTAACATCAGTAAGGATTTTGATTTTTTTTTTGTTTCATTACAAAAAATAAATCATTTATAGATGTGTGACATACGAACAAAATGTGTTGGTTTACATAAAGAATATTCAGATGTTTTACAAGTACCAGATAATGGAAATGTACTCGAAGAATTTGTTATACGTGATGTGGCGAAAAATTTAGTTGTAACGACAGAGGTATTTCTATATGATTGAATATAAAATTGTAAATAGTCAGTCAGATTTGATAAAGAATACCGGATGAGGCGAAAGTTTTGCAACACTATTTGTTTCGCATATATCTCGGCTTGCGAAAGTGAGAAAAAATGTTAATTTTTTTCAAAAGATGCGCCGTAATGAGCTCTACAAAAGTTGTATAATCAAACTCCTACTGACTTGTTTTGGTGGTTCTTACCATACCTAAAATGAAACAGCTATGTAGTGGTGTTAATGTTCATCATAATCATCGTGTTTCAAGGACTTTTTGTTTTGCATATATCTCGGGTTGGGAAAATGATAGCATCTTGATTTTTTTTAAAAGACGCGCCATGGAAAGCTCTACAACCGCTGCATAAAAAATTCAATATTTCAAAACGAAAAGTCTTTCAAACATCTTTTTGACGGTGAGAAGTAGCACTAACATAGACCTTTCTCATTTTCAGTATGAGAAGAACTATTAGAACAAGTCAATATGAGCTTGATTGTGCAATTCTTGTAGAGCTTTTCAAGGCGTATCTTTTATAAGAAAAATCAAAATTTCATCATTCGTGAAAGTCGAGATATAAGGAAGACAACAAAATTTTTCAAACACTTTTTTTACCATGGGACATAGCGTCATCATAGAGCTCTTCCATTCTGAGTATAGAAACAATCAATAAAACAAGTCAGTAGGAGTTTCCCTATGCAATTTTGTAGAGCTTTTCACGGTGCATCTTTTGAGAAAAATTAACATTTTTTCTCACTTTCGCAAGCCAAGATATATGCGAAACAAAAAGTGTTGCAAAACTTTCGCCTCACCCGGTATATGTAGATAATCAAAATATCAATTAAATAATTTATTCATTGTTTAGGAATATGCACGTCTTGAAACACAAGCTGACCAATTAAAAGAACAAATTCGTATTGCAGAAGATAATCCACCACCGTATGGGTTCTGTACTTGAACAATTATAAATATTATTTTATTATTTTTAGCCGATTGTATCTGAGTGTAGCTGATCGTCGTATTCTTGATTGGCATATAGCTAATTTAGAATTTGCTAATGCAGCACCATTAAATTGTCTATCACTAAAGTATTGGGATCAAGGTATGAACATATTTTAGAATAAGAAAAACAATGATTCTAGTTTCTTTTTTTCTACAGATGATGAATATGAATTCACAGGCTGTCATTTAACTGGTAAATATACATAGATGATAGAGAAAAAGACAAAGGATGATTCCACTTTTTTGATTTTAGTACGTAATGGTTATTCTATTCTACCTTTGGCTCTTTGTGAAAATCAAAATATAAAACTTAAACGTACAGTTAAAAAAATTTCTTATAATAAAACAGGTATGTTTTGAAAACGTTTTTTATTCTATATATTATTGCCTACTAATCTCGTATTTTTTTTATAGGTGTTGAAGTTGTAGTTACAAATACTGAAGATCCAAAAAATGAAGTTCCTGAAACCTATAAAGCTGAAGCAGTACTTGTTACAGTACCATTAGGTGTTTTAAAAGAGAATGTTATTACATTCGAACCACCATTACTTGAAGAAAAACAATCAGCTATTGATCGACTTGGTTTCGGAAATTTAAATAAAGTTGTACTATGTTTCGATAAAGTCTTTTGGGATTCAAATCATACATTATTTGCTCATGTTAATGCTTCAACATCATCTCGTGGTGAATTATTTCTTTTCTGGTGTTTTACAAAACCACCTGTACTCATTGCATTAGTTGCTGGTGATGCAGCCAATGTTGTTGAATGTGCAACTGATGATGTTATTATTGGTCGTACACTTGTTGTTTTACGGAATATTTTTGGTTCAGTTGCTGTTCCTTCAGTATGTGATAAAAATATTGTAAACATTAAATATTTTTTTGATTTTATTTTATTTTAGCCAAAAGAATCTTTAGTGACTCGATGGAAATCAGATCCATTTGCACGTGGTTCTTATTCATATGTTGCAGTTGGCGCTTCAGGTAATTTAATCTGCTAGGGTGACATAAAGTATTTATTGATTTATTTTTGTAAAGGTGATGATTATGATATCTTAAGTCGTCCAGTTGAATGTCCAGGTGATAGAGTTCCTCGATTATATTTTGCTGGTGAACATACGAATCGAAATTATCCAGCAACAGTTCATGGATCTTTATTAAGTGGTTTACGTGAAGCTCGACGTATAGCTGATGCTTTTCTTGGTTCAATCTATGAAGTTTCAGCACCTTAGAATCTTTCTGTCTTCTTTTTTGTGTTTAATAAAAAAATAAACTGACACTTACCTGTTGTATATTAAAATATTATTAAAGAAAAATAAAATTTTATTTCAAACAATCTTTTTTCTTTCTTTTAATAAAAAACAATCTATCAATGATGATCTTAATTTGCGCTGCCTGAATTTTATGCCACCTTGACATAGTGATTATAACGAAAATGGAGTACATGCATAATCAATCAGTACAAAAAATGGCTGCTTTACTAAGGATTTATTTATATACAACTCTTCTAAGTCGTATTAAAAACTAGTTTGAATGAAATGATTTCTAAAAGTATGATCGAAATTGATAACAATTATTCGATATTATCTAGTAGATGTCCTTTAACTGTCAATTATTGACGTACATTTTTTATAAAACAATATTGACCGAAGCAGACTATTTGTTACAATATTTGATTAACTACAATCATATTGAAATTTAATGTCTTCTATACCTATTGTATGATTAATTTAAGGTCGTCCATGATAAATTTGATACAAAAATACGAGTTTCTAAATAAATTTTTTTTTCCATTTAAATACGTTATCAGTATTGATCATTCTCTTCCTCCTTGTAACATACAAAATCAACATACAAAATAGAATTCTTTTTATTATAGTAGTGTAAATAGGGATGACGATGAACAAAAAAAAAAAAAGAGAAAGAAAAAATTGTTTCAAAAAGTAAGAATGCAGCAAGAGA